GGATGAAATGCTGGTTCCCATTCCGTAATGAACAACCTCCCTCCCACTTCATGACGTGAACAGCTCTGCCCATTGTGCCCTGTCCACCATGAATGATGTCCTGACTTGCCTTGGCCCCAAAGACGAGGAGCCTCTGAAACACTGAGCCAAAATTAACTTTTCTTACCTCAAGATGTTCTTCTCAGGTATCCTTTCAGTATGGTAAAAACTGACCAACATACTAAGTTCCATGAATTGTACATGTGAACTAGTGGAGTGTATGGTGTGTGGACTGTGTCTCAAGATAGCTGCTAAGGAAGCCAGGGAGCTAAGGATGGAAGGTTGGGAGCTAAGGATGGAAGGTTGGGAGCTAAGGATGGAAGGTTGGGAGCTAAGGATGGAAGGTTGGGAGCTAAGGATGGAAGGTTGGGAGCTAAGGATGGAAGGTGGGAAAGTCATCCCTGCTCATACCACGTTCTGCTGTTTGTTTTTCAAATGATAATGGATCTATTAAAATTCCACTTAGGATAAGGATAACTTTCTTTAAAAAAATATTATTTTCCACTTTCCACTCATTTCCTCTTTTCTCTTACCTATATATAAAATGACAAATTGAAGTTTTAAACATAGCATGACTTCAAATAATGAATTATGATTTCTCTTATTTAAAGAGCCAGAACACAGCTGAAAATCCTGAGTAGAACTAGGGCCTAATTCAAAGGAGGAGGAGGAGGAGGAGGAGGAGGAAGAAAAAGGAAGAGGAAGAGGAGGAAACTAAAGCCTGTTCCCACAGCTGTACTAGCTCCTTTGCGCTTCCAGAAATGTTTAGACTGTCCTCTGCACAGCTGCAAAACATTAAGAGGACTGTAAACACACGCAAGGTGTGCACCAATCGGCTCCACACCAGAGAAACCTGCGGCTGGGGTAGTTCCTTGTCGTAAGTAGTATTTAAGTTGCCACAGCACTGCTTACATTAAAGTCTCCACACAGTGCCTGCAAGATTCATCACAGAGGTCACTCCTGTGCCTCCAAAAGTCTCAGAAGATGTCAGTGCAGGCCTTGCTCTGTGCGGAGTCTCCTGTGACACAGGCTCATGGACATGCGGGCTCTTAAGAGAAGGCCACAAGTGCCAACAGGTGTCCAGAGCAAGGACTCAAGACTGTGGTGTGGCATCCTCTCTGCGTGACATCACTGTGCTCTGAATCCTAACTCTCTGGCACTGCTCTGCCGTTGCTGATTTCCCTGGCTCCTTCCACCCACCTTCTCAAGTGTGCCTTGGCTGAAGTTTGACACCAAGGACCCTGGATTCCGCTGTGCTCACCCGGACCAGCACAGAAGGTAGGACCCAAAGCAAGGAGTAGAAGCCTAAGAAATGAAGGAAGCACAGGTTGGGGATACTCAGGACACAAAAAGGGAAAAAAAAAATGCCAGGCACACAGACCACTGTTTGGGCTGAGCCACAGCGACAGATGAAGAAGCAGCATCCAGGCATGATAAATCTTGCTCTGGTCCTGATAAGTAGAATATTTCAAACAGTTTGCTTACTAAACAACGTTCCCTTTAAGAAAGTTTACATTAACATCAAATTGTGGGATAATCTTTCCATATACTGTGAAGATGAGTCTCTGCCAAGGCATCTCCTGATTGGTTTAATAAAGAGCTGATTGGTCAATAGCTAGGCATGGGAACTCTGCAAAGAAGAGAGGTAGGATTTGCCAGTCAGACACGGAGGAAGTGGGACTCATGGTACTGAGCAGAGGTACCGAGCCCTGTGGCAGAACATAGATTAATAAAAATGGGTTAGTTTAAGTTTTAAGAGCTAGTTGGGAACAAGCCTAAGCTAAGGCCAAGCTTTCATAATTAATAAGAAGTCTCCATGTCATTATTTGGAGCTGGTAGTCCAAAGAAAGTTCAACTATATCAAATAGTTAAATGTAAATGTTAATGCTTCCAGAAAAATGTAAAACAGATTAAAGAAGGCTGAAATACTCTCTATGATGTTGTATATCTGTGTGCACATGTTTGTGCAAGTGCATGTGTGTGAGCACGTGTGTATATGTGTATATGGACATGTTGGGGCTGGTGTACACATGTCTACATGGGGGAGTCGGATCAACTTGCAGTGTTGTTACTCAAACATAGGCAACTTTGCTTTGGACAGTCCCTCCCTGGCCTGAAACCTGACGGTGTTCTGAACTGGCTGGCCAGGGTGCCTCCTAGATCCCTGTCTACACCAACCTGGCACCGGGATCACAAGCACACATCCCTACTTCTGGTTTTTGTTACATGGGATCTGGGGATCAAACTCAAGTGCCATACTTCACTAAGTGAACTATACTCACAGCCCAAGCTCTTTGGAAAAGCTTGATATCTATTTATAAAATAGATAAATTAATACATTTTCCACTTTTAGCTTTATAGAACTCTTCCCAATGGACCAGATTTACTAAGGCAGTGTCTACATAGAGACAAGTCAGAGGCACAGGGTAGGGAAATGCCACGTGTTCTTCTGGGACACCCCGTCTTTTCAGTCTTCAGCCATGTCTGTGCAAAGGAGTTCACTTTTGAAGGGAAGACTGGAAAATTCTGAAACTGAGGGCTCTTTATGCTTCTAATAAGCTACAAAAGGCTGCTCTGGGCAAACTGAATCATAAAAATGAGGGCAAAATCACCAAACATAGCACTGGGGCAAAGCAAGGAGAAGAGGTGGCTTTGGGAAGCCTGGCGGGGTGGGAAGCCTGGCGGGGTGGGAAGCCTGGTGGGGTGGGAAGCCTGGCTGGGTGCGCCAATGGGGAGATGTGAGCTACTTTCCAAGCTAATCACGTGAATACCTTGGATTTTAAAATCCTTTTCATTAGTAAAAATGAGGGAGACAGAACTTTGATCCTGAAACCGTTCACAACATTACCAGAGCTTTCCACAAACAGCTGCAGCACTAGAGGAAAGGAGAGCACAGTCCGAGATGGAGGAAAGGCCAGGGCTGGCCAGGCAAGGTTAACGGACTGAGACAGGCTGCGCTCCAGGAGCAACAGGGCGGCTCTGAGTCAGGCATGAACATGAAACACTTGGTATTTGGGGAAGACAGCTCCGGCTTCTGTCCAGAGAATCGAGAACCAGAAACAGACAGACCAGTGAAGACAGCCACCAGGCACCGGCAAGGCACGGGCACGGGGCCCAGGCAGTCACAGAAATGCAAGAGACCTGGTAAGGTATGAGCTCAGCAGGCACTGCCAATGGAAAGAAGCCCACGGTTTACAGTGAGATGCCAGAAGTGGACAGTGAGAAGACACTGTGGAGACTGCACAGCTGAAGACCAGGAGGGGAAGAGGTGGGGGGGGGGGGGGGTGTCACCCGACAAGTCAGCTACAGAGGCAGGGGAGGAAAGAGAGCAGCAGGGAGTGGGCTTGTCTGGCTGGGTCGGGTGTGGCTGTTTATGTGTACAGAACAGAAGATGCTACACACTGTGATGGGGTCTGACTCAGACAGGAAGAGACGTTGTACAGAAGTGAGGAGTGAACCATACCCAAACAACCAACGCTTAGTAAGCACCCGTTAGGTGTATGTGGTTGTTCTGTAAGGGTCATTTCAGTTTTATTTGATGCGTAAGTGCATATGTGTATGTACGCATGTGCAGTACCCATGCAGGCCAGAAGAGGATGGCAGATCCCCCAAAGCTGCAGGTACAAGTGGCTCACCCAACACGGGTGTGAGGCATCAAAAGGCGGCCTCTCTGAGGAGCAGCAAATGCTCAGCAGATGACTGAGCCATCTCTCTAGCCCTTGTTAGGTACATTTTGTTCTTAAGAACACCACAATGCAGAAGAAAGTAAACGATGAAGCAGGAAGGTCAGACTCATCAGCAGTGCACACAAACTACCTCTGTTACATACCTGACCAAGCATGTCAATGACAGATCATGCCGGGGGCAGTAGGGAACATGGACTCATATCAGACAGAGAACTCTTCAATTTACTTGAATTATTAATATATTTTGGATAACTATTTTTCAAGTTTACTCCCATCTCGACCACTCAAAAACCAAGTATGTTTATACTTAAGAAAATGTGGTGGTTTGAAAGAAAATGGTCCCCAAAGGGAGTGGCACTATTAGGAGATGTGGCTTCGTTGGAATAGGTGTGGTCCTGTTGGAAGAAGTGTGTCACTGTGGAAGCAGGTTTTCAGGTCTCATATATGCTCAAGCCACAACTAGTGTCTCAGACCACTTCCTGTTGCCTATGAGTCAAGATGTAGAACTCTCAGCTACTTCTCCAGCACCATGTCTGCCTGCATGTCACCGTGTCACACCATGATGATAATGGACTGAACCTCTGAAAATGTAAGCCACCCCAATTAACGTTCTTTCTTTATAAGAGTTGCCATGGTCATGGTGTCTCTTCACAGCAACAGAAACCCTAACTGAGACAGGAATATACAAAGAAAAATATTTTTATAATTACAAGATAGAACAAACACAATTTTGTAGTCTTTTTTTTATAAACATAATGTTATTAGAGATAATTCAGTTCCAATGATAAAAATACAATTGTCCTTACACTTCAGATTTTCCCCCAAGTGCTGCACAGTTGACTTTCTAAAGAGCTGTTGTGTGCCATATGTTAAGCCATGAATGTCACAGGAGTGGTGCGTCCACTAAGTGCCCTCATATGAACCCTATGAGTTCCACAGCGGAAGGGTCACCCCAGGTTCCACAGTGGAAGGGTCACCCCAGGATTCAGGTAGGTTCACCTGGACTTGTGCAGATTTGTCAAGCACAAAAGATGAATAAATGAACAGTTTCACAATGAATCATTTTTAATCTTTAAGAATACTAGCTGAATGAGGTAAGAGTTTCTGATCTCCAATCTTTTTTCAGGTATTTTAAAAATAATACAGTACTTATACAACAACAACAATAAAAAAATCAATCTCTCGAACCATGAAAGTTCAAAAGGTAAAGATTTCTGAATCCCCAAATAAATCAAATCTTCAGCTAATGTTTCCCACTTGGATGAGGTCACCAACCTGCTGGGCTGCTTCTCCATTCACCAAGTGGGGCATCATGGCCACCTCCCCATTGAGCAGGGGTGGCAGTTCCAGGGGGATCTGGTCGGTCATCATCATGGTGACGTACATTCATGGAGAACTGCCCTCAACCAGCTACCTGCAAGAGAAACACCCATGTTTACAAAAACTCTAAAACCTATGAATGATGGTAACAACCCCACTCCAGAAATCTGAGGATAAAGTGAGATCACATTTTCTAAAATAACCATTTATGTATAAGCCACATGTGCGCTGATACCCACTGAGGCCAGAAGAGGATCACAGCCAACAAAGCTAGAGTTCCAGGCAGTTAGTTGTGGGCCACCCAATATGGCTGCCAACAACTACACTGCAAGAGCAACAAGTGCTTTAACCACTGAGCCATCTCACCAGTGAGAGGGCAATATTGACAAACAGAAACTACAGTGGCCATTATTAAGGTAATGACCGAAACAGAAGATACATCCCCAAAGAACTATACTTGTCATTCACAAAAAGCTTTCTCTTTCATTAAGATCAAAATAATTCCGAAGCACTTAACACAAGCAAACCGAGGTTACTACATAAGCTGCAGCTCCAATCATCAAGTTAAACCACTAAGGAAACTGACAATCACCACATTCTGTTTCTCCTAATCATTTCTTTGAGTCGAACACACAGGATCTCTCTTACTCAGACACTCTTTGGGCTCCTCTGTATCTATGACACACTCAAGCCAGTGGGGCTCACAAGCTGATTCCCTAGTTTACACAGAGTAAATGAAAAAAAAGCTTTTTTCCCTCCCATAATTGCACCTTCCCCCTGTAGTCGGCTTGACAACATACCAGGAAGAAAAGAACAATAAATTTCGAGGGGATCACAGCCTGCTCCATAAAAAGTATGCATGCATTCATGCACTGTAGCATAAAGTCTAGGAGCATGGAAAAGTATGTGTGTGTATGTGTATGTACGTGTGCTTGTGTGTGTGTGTGTGCATGTGGGATAGATAGATATATATGTATATATATTATACATATATATTTTATAAAAATCATACATACCCAATTTTAAATGATTTCAGAAGAAAACTGCCATATATTTAAAGGCCAAAGTTTTATCCTTCATAAAAACTCCCTCGAAATTTCACATTCAAAGCTATTTCACAAATGAATACTTTACTGTTAACGTTCCAGTCAGTCCAAGTGCAACAGCAAATTCTTTAGTGGCTGCCTTGGATTTGTACCAGATAGTTGTAACAACAACAAATGATTTCTTTTCATCCCTGTATACCCCCATTACACATGCCCCCCTCATCTCCCCTACAAGAGGCTCCTTCCTAGACATGTCTGCTGATACCTGAAGGCCACCCAAGAGATGATGTTTTTATTTTAAATAGGTAAAATTTTATACTATCCATTATAACTCCATATTTAAGACCCAGACTAATTATTTAAGATCCAATCAAGGAAGCCCTGTCCCAACTGGGAAGTACATTCCATAATAACAGGTCGTACAGAAACCACTAGGATAGTTACTTGGCAACTACGCAAATGGAAATGTAGCCCAAAGACCAGTGGTCTAGCCTGAAGCTCCTGCATTCCAACCGAGACAAGCCTGCAGATACTATCACAACTGAACTGTGTGATTTTGACTCAAATAAGCAGCACTTGTGTACATGTCTATTTTATTTCTAATACACTGAATTTTACTAGTTTTAAAGGGACAAATTGCTACTTTTTCTCAAATGGACCTCTTTCTTCAGTGTAATGTTTCATTTGATATTTCTTCAGAAGTATACGCTTAGCCAGACAGTGGCGGGCATACGCCTTTTGAACCCCAAGGACGGGCCCGTGTACTCCCAGGTCCGGATGTAGCAGCTCATGGTGTCAGATGGTACCTTCCTGTCTGCTCTTTGTGATTAATGCATGACTTGGGAGTTCATTACTGGCCCATCCCAGCAATGTCCCCAGCCCTCCCTGAGGCTTGCTGGAAGATCAATTTTCCCAGCAGAGAGAAAACTACAGACTCAGCTCCTGCCTAGATTTTATCACCTGCTCCAAGAAAACTGGGAGGCAGAGGCAGGTGGATCTCTGTGATCTAGAGGCCAGCCTGCTCTACAGAGTGAGGTTCAGGACAGCCAGGGCTCACAGAGAAACCCTGTCTCAAAAATCCAAAAAAAAGAAAAAGAAGTATATGCTGGGGACTAGGGAAACAGTTCAGTCAGCAAAGTAATTGCTGCACAACATGAGAACCCATGGAAAAGATGCTGGACAAAGAGGTATGCGCTTGTGGTCCCAGGGTTCCCCAGCCAACTCACCTAATAGATGAGCTTCAGAGAAATAGGAGACCCTCAAACAAACAAACAAGGTGGCAGCACTGAGGGTAACTAACGCCTCACCTGCACATGCAGACACACACACACACACACACACACACACACACACACACACACACACACACACGCACACACGCACACACGCGCACACACACGCACGCACACGCACACATGCGCACACACACGCACACGCACACACAGGCATGGGTTTACGGTGATGTATACTTGGGCTCTTGTTTAACAAGAAGCGTTCTCTGCTCTTTTCCCTTACTCCTCCCATACAGGAGCTTCCGGCAGTTCCAGGAGACAGTGACGCAGACGGTGACTCTGCCTTCCCTCTCTTCCCTTCTGCAGCAATGAACACCACAGTCCTCTCCCACTGAGATGGCACAACCTCCCCTGGACCATCTCCTGGACTACGTGGAACCTGAACTCTGTCGTCGCCCAACAAGGCAGGAGTAAACCAACTATAGGTTCTGCTCCTGTCCCACCTGAAACTTGGAGGTCCTGAATTCCAACCATCATGGAAGAGTACAGAAAAGAAAGAGAGGTTTGGGAAGCTAGGAAAGGGTGCTGGAACAGGTCCTTAATCAGATCTGCTGACAGTTAAAGCTATTTATGCTGCACACAGTCCAACACAGCCAACTAACATTGTTTAAAATGGAGTTGAGTCCCGACTAGATACAAAACTCACATGTTCCAGGTCCTCTAGGACTGAAGAATAACTCAACACCACCACCAAGTCTAGCTCTGACAATTCTAGTTTAAAAACCTTCCTGCTTTTCTTAATGTTGAATAACAGGACCTGCTGTCAACAAGACATAGCCTATCCAGTCCCACCAAGCAGCGCTCTCACACGTGAGTGCCGAACCCAGAGTAGAGCTAGAATACAAGTTCTGCAAGACTAGAAGGTGTAGACCATAAAACCAACTCCTGAAAAGATGCTCTCTGACTTCCACATGTGTCATCACACACACACACACACACACACACACACACACACACACACACACACACACATCTCATACATCATGTATAAAATTTTAGAAAAAACATTAGCTTTATCTTCAACAGACTCTAAGGTGCCAGACAGAGACAGAAGAGGTGTCCACGCAGCCAGCGTCTAAACAGCCACTTCTGTGCTCCATGAGCACACATGGGACACTTGCCATCTGATCAGAATGCAAGGAAAACACAGAAGCAATCCGTTCTCTCCAGATACTCAAGGCAACCACCTATCAAATCGCCCCTAAAATTATTCTCGGACAGAAAGAGCCTAGCACCATGGACCACAGAAATAACAAGAGATGGGCAAGAAGCAGGAGGCCTGTAAAGAATGAAAACATGTATAAACAGAAAATTGGGGATATGCAGTGGTATCTTTTTGGTGAAAGGCTTGCTATCCAGCAGGACTCATTTTAATGATTTGAGGTGGGAATTACAGATTTTCTTCATTACATGGACAGCAGACCATACAGTTTTTAATAAAATGGATCTGGAGCCATTGTTTACAATAGTAAATTCACTCATAAGAAGGTGACCTGCTGAGAATTTCTGTAGCATTTTGGTCTTAGGTACCCAAACAAACTCAGGTCTGTTTTGAGGTGTTTCTTGTTATTTTTTGGCTTATAGAGATGAGTCCTGGCTATGTAGCACAGGCTAACCTCAAACTTGTGCTGTGACTTACAAACACTGTCCACCACCACAGTGTGCTCCTTTGAGTTTTATACCCAGTCTCTCTGTGTGTCCTACATCCGAGGCCCACTCTCCTTCATACATACACACACACACACACACACACACACACACACACGCACACGCACACGCGAATGCATAAGCATGCACACAGTATCAATAATCACTTTCATCTCAGGACTGCACTATAAATTTGGTGTCCTTTACTCTGAAAACCCAACTGTCACTTACATACACAAAAGAGGAGTGGTCTCTGGGTGAGGCCTCTGAAACTCCCCTATACACCTTAAAACACCATCTTCTTTGGCCACCGCTTCCTCATCAGCTTCAAGAGCAGCTAAGGGGCCAATGTGTACTCTCTGGCTAAAGAAGAGGTACACCTCAGTTGAAAAGTCTCAGGAATAGCCACACTAAGGAAGTATTTGTTTACTCTGCCTTCTGCCTAAGAGATGTGGATTTGGGCTAGACAAATCTACCTTAAGACTCTGTACTTCAGTCAAAGAAGCACCACACCCTCAGGGTCTGCCAACAGCAAGGAGATCTCACACTGGAGGATCATTAACCTTTACATGCTACAAACTCCACCAGAAAAAATACACGCAGTAGATTGAGTCTACAGTATTCTCTTCTAATCTGCTGAACTCACCCCTCCTACACCCAAGGTTCCCTCTTCTGTCTTACTCTGACCTAGACTTCCAACTCGAAAGAAGTTGGTCACAACCACAGGCCCTCACAGCCCCTCCCTTCACCACACATCACAACACTAAAGCCACAAGTGCTCTGTACCCAACTAGCTGTGTTCTGAATCAAAGAGGCAGATGCTATGTGAGCCCCTGTGGTTCACAGCCCTTCTCCTAGGAGAGCAAGACCTTGGTTCACTGATAGCCAGGCTACACCCACCATTAGCTCCTGAGCTACAAGAGTGGGGGACAGGCATTCTAGAAATGAAAGGAGCAGCCCTTCGCTGTTATTAACTAATTCCTTTGCTAAAGATGACCTTATTTTAAAATAACCTCACAAAGGGGCGCCAGTTTCTCCATCTCTCTAGGTGTTTGGCTTAGTACTTTTTCTTCTTTCTTTGCACTTTGGCCCTAGCCTAGTCTATGAAA